TTCCATCTCTGGCGTGCTGACGTGTTCCAGCGAAGCCCAATGCAAACTGGAGGAACAACACCTCATTTTCTGCTTGGGGACCCTACAGCCCTCCGGACTCAATATTGAGTTCAATAATTTTAGGGCCTAAACTCTCCCATGCCCCAATCCCCTACCCCACACACCAGGCCTTGTTACCACATAGCCTGCCATTACAGACCCCCTGTTGTTAGTCACTAACAGTCCCCACTAACAACTATTCACCCCCCCAGCCTGATCGTTAGCAACTCCTTTGTCCAACTGTCTTTCTCTCTCTTTGGGCTCTATCCTATCATTTACTCCCTACTCCACCCACCTCCCTATTTTCTGAGTATAAACTGACATTTTCCCAGCCACCATCAGTTCTGAGGAAGGGTCACCGGACCCGAAACGTTAACTCTGTTTTTTCCTTCACGGATGCTGCCAGATCTGCTGGGCTTTTCCAGCAACTTTGTTTTTTTTCTTGATTTACAACATCCGCAATTCTTTCGGTTTTTTTTTCTGGATTAATAGTCTAATGATAACACCATTAGACCAATGCCTCCCATGAAATATGCTGATGAATGCAAGAAGAAAAGTTTTGACAAAACATGTTGTTTCTGCAATACGCAAGAGGCAAAAGTATTCTGTTTTCACGGTAGAGAATACAAAAATCATTTCAGTAATAGCTGTAAATCAGGTGGTGGAAGAGAGAGAGAGGAACTTAGGGAGGAAATTACAATCACTAGGGAAGTGGTACTAAGCAAATTGATAGAGCTGTGATCATAAGACCATTATGCTGTAGGAGAACAAGTAGGTCATTTGGCCTATTGGTTCCGCTCCATCATTCAAGGAGATTTGATAATCATCAACTTCACTTCCCTGCCTTTTCCCCCATAACTCGATTCCCTTAATGATCTGAGCCTTGAATATACTTAATAAATTAGCCTCAACAGCCCTCTGCAGTAAAGAATTCCACAGATTCACTACCCTTAGAGAAGAAATTCCTCCTCATCTCTATCTTGAATGGGTCACACTTGACTCAGATTATGTTCTTTGGCCCTAGACTCTTTAACCAGGGGAAACAACCTCTCAGCATTGATCCTGTCAAACCCCCTTAGAACACTATTTATTTCAGTAAAGTGGTCTCTCACTCTTGTAACCTTCAATGAATACAACCCAACCTAGGCAGCTTTTCCCATAAGATGTCTGTATACCGAGGATCAACCTAGTGAACCTTCCCAGGCTGACTATCTCTGGATAGACGTCATCCTTCAATCTTAAGAGGTTGTCAATGAGGTAGTAAATTCATTGGTGTTAATTTTCCAAACTTCTTAGACCCTGCAAAGGTTTAATCAAACTGAAAAGAAGCAAATATAACCCCTCTCTTTAGGAAGGCAACAGGCCAGTTAGCTTGATGTCTGTTATGAGAAATATGACATTGAAATGTGGGAAATAAGAGTAGGAATAGGCTATTTGGCCCTTTGAGCCTAAACACCATTCAATTGAATCATGTCTGATCATCTCAGTACCCTGTTGCTGATTTCTTACCCTATACTTTTTGATCCCTTTAGGCCTAAAAAGCATTACATGTTTTGCCTTTTGTGACAGACTTCCACAGGTTCACCAGTCACTGGGCGAAGATACTTCTACTTATCTCAGTCCTATATGGCCAAACCCATTTCCTTAATTTGTGACCCCTGGTTCTGGACTCCCTGGTCATTGCATACACCATTCCTGTGTTTACCCTGCTCACTCCTGTTAGAATTTTACAGGTTTTTTTAGGAGTTCCCTCTCATTCTTCTAAACTCCAGTGAATATAATCCTGACCAATCCAGTCTCTCTTCATCGGTCCTGCCATCTCAGGAATCAGTCTGGTAAACCTTTGTTGCCTTCACTCCACAGCCAGAACTTCCTCAGATGAGCATACAGAAACTGCTCACCTGTACAATTGCAGTGAGCTATCCCTTCTCCTGTACTTAAAACCTCTCTCTCTATGAAGGCCAACATACCATTTGCCTTCTTCGCAACAGCTGCACTTGCACGCTTACTTTCAACAATTGGTGTGTTGGACATCTAGGTATTGCATCTCCCTCTTTCCCAATCTACCACCACTCAAATAATAATCTGCCTTTGTGCATTTGCCATCAAAGGGGATAAACTCACATTTATCCATATTATGCTTCATCTCTCATGCATTTGCCCATTCACTCAACTTTTCCAAAATCAAACTAAAGCATCTCTACCTCCTCATCACAGCTCACCCTCCCACCCAGATTTGTGTCATCTGAAAACTTGGACATATTATATTTAGTTCCTTCATCTAAATCATTTATATATATATAGTAAATAGCTAGTAGCTACCTACCAAAAACCTTCTGAAAGACCAAGTAAATTACATCAACTGGCTCTCCCTAATCAACTCTACTAGTTACATCTTCAAAAAATTTCAGATGAGTGAAGCATGAATTCCCTTTCATAAATTAATGCTAACTCTGTCCAATCCTGTCACTGTTTTCCAACAACTCTGCTATTAAATCTTTTATGATGGTTTCTAGCTCTGTTCCCCCCATGACAGATGTCAGGCTAACTGGCCTTTGTTTCCCTTTTACCTTTCCACCTCTTTTTTTCAAATAGTGGAGTTACCTTAGCTACTGCAATTCATAAGAACTGTTCCAGAGTCTATAGAATCTTGAAAGATGCGTACATTATTGTAGGGCCACTTCCTTAAGTACTCTGGGATATTATAGATTGTCAGGCTCTGAGGATTTGTCAGCCTTTAATCCCATCAATTTTCCAAACAATACTGTGGTCCTTAAACCAAAATATGTATTTAACTAGTCTACCATCTCTTTCTTCCCCAGGATAACTCCTCCTGTTTCTGATCGTAGGGGACCTACATTTATCTTAACTAACCCGTTTCTCTTCACATATCCATATAAACTCTTAGAATCAGTATGTATATTCCCCACTTATTCTCGTACTCTATTTCCCCCATCTTAAATAATCACTTTGTCCTTCTATGCTGAAATCTAAATTGATCCTAATCCACAAGTCTGCTGCATTTTTGGCCAATTTTGTTTTTGCCCCTTCTTGGATATAATATTATCCCTAATTTCCATCGTTAGCCATGGTTGGGCTACCTTTCCCATTTTATTTTGTGCCAGACGGGAATGATCAATTACTACATTTCTGCTGGAGCGAAATCATTCAGAGATGTTATAACTGTTGTGAATAAAAAAAAAATTCAGATTCCAGACAGAGATAGTAAGAACTGCCAATGCTGCAGACAGAGATAGTAAGAACTGCCGATGCTGGAGGAACACAGTATGGAGCTGGAGGAGCACAGCAGGCCAGGCAGCATCAGAGGAGCAGGAAAGCTGACGTTTCAGGTCGGGACCCTTCTTCAGAAAAGGTACGGCTTGTTGGTCTAGGGGTATGATTCTCACTTAGGGTACTATACAGTGTGTGACATGCAAGAGGTCCCGGGTTCAACTCCCCGACAAGCCCAGATTTCTTGCTTCACTTTAGGGGGGCATGGTGGCTCAGTGATTAGCACTGCTGCCTCACAGCGCCAGAGACCGAGGTTCAATTCCACCCTTGGGTGACTGTCTGCGTGGAGTTTGCACGTTCTCCCCGTGGGTTTCCTTCGGGTACTCCGGTTTCCTCCCACAGTCCAAAGATGTGCAGGCTAGGTGGGTTTTAGGGGGATGGGTCTGGGTGGGATGCTCTGAGGGTCAGTGTGGACTTGTTGGGCTGAAGGGCCTGTTTCCAGACTGTAGGGATTCTATGATCCATGATGATGATTAAGCCAGGTGGATACATTCTTGTTAGGCAGGGGATCAAGGGTTACCAGGGACAGACAAGAATGTGGAATTTGAAGCACAACCAGCTCAGCCACAATCTTCTTGATTGGCACAGCAGGCTTGAGGGGTCAAATGGACTACTTCCACTCCTATGTTGTAAGTTCTTATTTGTGCTCTCAATTTGCATTGAAATACATTAGTAGCGCAGATAACTTTTCTTCTCCATCTCATCAAATTGCATGATTGCAATGAAAGGCTTGTACCTGTTGAAGAATATGAAAGTAACTTCCGGTAGGAACAATCCCAATTTTGCCAATCTATCCTTGCAAATGAAGTCTGTAATTGTTGGAACCATTCTTGAGAATCTTTTCTGAACAGATTTGAATGCCTGAAATGTGGTGCCCAAAATTTGTCACAGTTCTGCAGTTGAGACCAAACCAATAATTTGCAAAGGATCCCCCATAAATAAAATAAAAGGAGCAGGAGTAGGCCAGTCAGCCCTTTGAAACTACTCCGCCATTCAACGTGATCATAGCAGAAAATTCCACAGGCTCACTACTGTCTGTGTGAAGAAATTTCTCATCCCGATTCTAAATGGCCCATCCCTCACTTCCTTGGTTTTGTAATCTATGCCTCCATTTATGAAGCCCAGGATCCTGTATGCCTTATTAACTACTTTTTCACCTAGTTCTGCTGCCTTCAACAATTTGTGTACACATATTACCAGGTTTGTCTGCTCTTACACCCTTGTGAGCTCACACTGTGATCAAAATTAATAGATAGTCTCATTTTCATTTTTGCTAACATTTAATAATTGAATATCTTTCTATTTATTGAATTTTAATACTGTGAAAGTCAACTAGACAGTGAATGACAACATTCTGGCAGTATGTTACCATGCTTAAATAGAATTCAGAATTACATAGTATCAATCTATAAATAGATAATTAACAAAACAAAAAAATCAGTCAATAAAATTCTGATGTTCTTGTACATTATGATGTGTGGTTTGTGACGATAGTGATTACTGCACTTATTGCGTCCCTGACCACATATAAATAGCTAATTAAGTAGCTTAAATATCACACAGACAGTCTGCTTCTACTGTGTTTCAAAATTATATTCACATCCTAGAATTAAATAACTGATACCATTACTGGCAGTTTACCAAAAAAAGTTGAAAGCCAGACCATCATCAAACGTAAAATTATACTATGTTATTTAATTCACTTTTGTGCCATTCTGTACACTTCAGATTTAACATTTGACTGAGAGCAGATTTAAGGACTGTCCTCTTTCCAAATCCCCATGGTTAATAGTGATACAGCTATAATCGAGGTCTGGTGCAGTACTTTGGCAATCTTTAAAAGTGAGGTCTGACCAAAGGATTTGTATTCACTGACAATTAGATATCTGTAAGCTTTTTTTTTCTTCTTCTTTCAAAAACCCTGAACAACAAACAGATATTTTTGCAAATGTCTTACAGCACTTGTGCATTTCTTCAATTACATGCTGGCATCTGCTTTCTTGATAATGATGAGCTGCAAAGAACACACAAAAAATGAGGAATCAGCCAAAGACCACACGTGTTCATCCAGTTCAGCTTTCGTACAGGAACATCTGCCACTGACCCAAGCTGGTCCTTTTTGGCAGCACAGAATGGAAAGCAATAACCACTTTCCTCTAGGATTTAATTTTTCAAGTATCATTAATGAACTGAACTAGGTGATGGAGGTGAAGTGTTCTCTTGGTCCATTCTTATGAAATCACTGACTTCAGATTTTAGAAGTGCAAGTGGCCAGTCTCAATATTATGTAGCAGACTGTTGCCATAGTGGGGAGGTGGGGAGGTGGGGAAGGTGAAGACAGAGAGAGAGACAGAGAAAGAACTGGCTAAAATATGCAGGGAAAATTTCAGGTAAAACCCTAGACAACATAATATTCAGTTATTCACATTAGCAATTCTAATATTCACAGTAGCAACTTCTCTTTTTCAAAAACTAAAAATTATATTGTGAAGTATAAAAGAGCTTTATGCTGTTTACCTTTTGGAAGCTGAGTCAACTTTAGGTTTTTGTTTATAAAGACAATGCACAAAAGCTCCAGTTCAGAATTGCTAGAATAATATCTGGAATTGGTGAGTTAACTTATGAGGAAGGGTTGGCCAAGCTGAACTTGTATTTGTTTTTTAGATATTGAAGGTGTCGAGGGGTATGAAGAGAAAGTAGGAATAGGCAATGAGATAAAGGATCGGCCATGAACATACTGAATAACCTGTTAACCTGTTCCTGCTCCTTGTTTCTATGTATTGTATTATAATTATAAAATATCAAGTACCATGTGAAGCTGTTTAATAACAGTAGCAACGAAGTTGCATTACTTTAGTGTCTCAATAAAATTTAACTAATTCAGAATAGATGATAAAGGGCAAATAATGAGTGTCAGAGATTTCAAATTAAGCACACTGAAGGAAAATGTAAACTTAAATTTCACCTTGTAAGCACTTCTGTATTTCACAGGCCTGTTTCTGGCAAGGGTCCTTAGGTGACATAGCAATGTGCCTGAAAAAGAAATGAGGATATTGGCTTTTCTGTTTGCACTTTTACATGGAATGGAACTCTGGTGTCAAAGCAGTGGGGCATTTTTAAAAACTTATGTGCAGCTAATTTAAATATTTTAACTACTGACAGAAAAGGGAACAAACAGAAATTCATGCTAGGCAGTGAAAACAGAATTGATAATTATAGCCATACATTTTCATTGTCAGCAAGCTAGGGATAAACTTGTTTTTTTAGGGAGCTTGTCTAAAGTTTTTGAAGACATTCTAAATACGAAATTGGTACCCCAAATTTACTTCTTAAAATACTTTCATGTCATGTGCCGATTAAGACATTAATTCTTCAAATGTTGAAAAAAAAAATCAGACACAAAAATATTAAATCCCAACTTGTGATCCTTTCCCTGTTTGCCATTAGTTTTGGATGTGGCATAAAGTTTCAACTCTGTTTTGAATTCAGATTCCTAGAACAAACACCGTGAAATCTATGATAGGCCTAATGCCTCAATGTTTTGTCAATCCCTTCCATCTATGAAATTCTACTCCCAAATATTTGGTTTAAAGATAACCATTTTGGTGTCTCTTACATCTTACAGATTGCAGATCGGCAATTATCAAGATTAATATTTTGTTCTATTGTATTTGTACGCAGCTTCCTTAAAGCTCAAGGTACAAACTTAATTCGCCCTTTTCAGGAACCTAATCAAAGTGCTGTAAACTAAGTACAATAAAAATAACCATGTGGATGTATTTTCTCACAAAGCTGACCAGTCTGTCCTCAGACCTTTAACTGCCCTGGAGAGCCGGTGTCACCTCCTAAACTGCTCGGGTTCAGCTGCCAATGAACTGATGTAAATTAAATATTGACATATTCTCAGTCTTGCGCTGTTACAATTGATACGCACGATGCGAGTTCCCTCTGCCTGAAATTTTAAAACTACGTTTATCACTCGTAATTTTATTTTATTTTTCTGTCTCTCTGCCACTGCCACAATTTTAACTCGGGGAATTTTCCGGAACCTAGTTGCGACGCGTGCGCTTGTCGCCCGGCGCCCGTTGTTGTCCCTGTTTTTGTCGGGAAGGGGAGAGGATCCGGTTCGGTTAAATCGGGTTTAGGTTTCACTCCCGAGTGTTGAGCGGACATGGCGGTGTGCGGGGTTCATCTGGACTCGGACGCGTTCCTCGTCTGTTTAAATCACGCCTTGTCCACGGAAAAGGAGGAAGTGATGGGACTGTGTATCGGAGAGGTACCCGCTCGAACCTTCCCTTAGCAACCGGGCCGGAGACCGTCACCCTGACAACACCCCCCAGCCATCTCAGCAACGGGGCTGGGCACTGTTACCCCCGGCAACCAGGCCTCATAACCCTCCCGGCCCGTCCAGTCCATGATGAGGAAGCCTCAGCTTCTGCTTCTCCCCTCTGAATGGGAATTGGTGCATTGCCCCAGGAATTAGGTTTGGGGCTATCATTCCAGAGATTGCTCCATTCTGTCACCAGCACAGGCCCAGCTGATACTGCCTGCTGTACTACTGGAACCTATCACTTTCCATAGAATAGAATCGAGTCCACACCAACACTCCAAAGAGCACCCAACCCTGACCCACCACTTATCCTCTCCCTGCATTTCCCACCCTAAACACGATGGGTAATTTAGCATGGCCAATCCACCTCACCAGCGCATCGTTGGACTGTGGGTGGAAACCGGAGTATCCAAAGGAAACCCCATGCAGATATGGGGACAACGTGCAAACTCCACACAGACAATCACCCGAGGCTGGAATTGAACCCTGGTGCTGTGAGACAAAGTGCTAACCACTGAGCTACCATGTCACCCCCTGTACTTCTGTAAGGTGATGCTCTTTAAGGCTGATGGAGTGCAGCAAAGGCCCCTTCCTGTGCTGAGGCATTGAGAGAGAGCTGAGCTAATTGTTCTCTCAACAAAGCATACCTCAACTCAATATAAATCCATTCCGTGTGGAATTGTTACTTCAGTTCCAATAGGGTGCCCCAGCAAGAAAATGGAATCTTCTTATTGTTTCAGAAAATGTTGGTATACAGTGTATATGTTATCTGAATGTGCTAAGTGTAAGTTGTTTAGGAAGACCAAATATCATTGGATGTATACTTCCCCAACTCTCCACCACTTGGGTTTTGCTTGCATCATCTTATAGAGTAATTCACAGAGTTGCTACACTGCAAAAGGACTATTTGACCCATTGAGACAGTGCTGAGTCTCCATTGGAACAATTTGATGAGCTCCACATCCCATCTTCTTTTCATGGTCCTGCCTTAACTTCAGAATTGAACCCATCATTTTATATTGTCTCTTTACCCTCATCCTACCACACTGAATCACTTCAGACTTCTCTGTATTAAATTTCATTGTTTGCCTGTTCCATCAACCTGCCTGTTTTGTCCTGTTGAAATTCTGCAATATCCTCCTCACAAATCCTAGTTTTCAAGTTTTGTATCATCAACAAATTTTGAAATCACTGACACTAACTCCTGGAGAACTCTACCTTTAAACCTGTCTCCAGTTTGAGAATCATCTATTAACCATTACTGTTTGTTTCTAGTCAGTCTGCATCCATGTTGTTACTGTCCCTTTTACTCTATGAGCTAATTAATGACATCACAACATCATTAATGACTTATCAGAAATAATGTACAAATTAAGTAGGCTACCCAACTCCAAAGGTGTAATCCAAAGTAACCACTGAAAAATTCAGAAGAAGCTTCTTAATCTGCCACAAGGCGTATTGATACAAATAGCATCGATCTTCAACATTTTAGTTCCAGGAAATGACTTGTATAACATTACTTCCAACAAATGGGTTTGAGCCACCATTATGTCAACAACAGGTCAGGGTGTCTTTTTCCCCCACTTCTAACTGAACTCCACAAATAAATAACTCAACCCAGAAACTAGTTGTTAGCCCCTCATTGGTCATAATTGACAGAAGGGAGAACAAGCTCAGTCACCTAATAGCCACCAAACTATTCTCCTGTCTGCTTCTTGAATCGCGTGGAGTAAATCAGCTTTTCCTTCACTATTTGCAATTCTGTACTTGTGTGGATAGTTTCATGTTTTGAAAGCATTCAGATATTTCACAAGAAAATGTAGAGTTGACTGTAAAAACTGTGTCTTTTAAAGATGAGAAATGGATTATCAGGCATCTGTTGCAGTCCAACAGTAAATGAGTTCTGCTGTCAATAGCAAAAACAGGTTTAGGATTAGGGTTGGTTGGAGGTTGTTGGAAGAGGAAGAAAATTAATGAAAATTAATGCTTTTACTTGGACTTTAGGTTGCATTAACAATTCAATTCATATTTAGGCCCCAAGACAGGTGCCCATCTGTTTTTAAAAAGAAAACTGATTGTTAGTCAAGACACCATGGTTTCTGGAGACACACCAAAATGTCCGCCATCTGATAATGTTTCTGTTACATCTTGTCGTTTGTTTTAGTAAGGTGAAGCGTGTTATCAGCAGAGAAACAGAACACTTTCTATCTTGTTATTCAGTGTCAGCAATTTGTGACAGTAACATGTATAAAATGCATATGATATGGAGGTCTGTCTATCCTGGAATTAATTGATCTCTAGGCAGATCGTGTTGTATTGCCCCACTCTGATATTTCTATTTCCATATTGGTCTCCGTTTGAGCATTACTGAGCAAGGACATTTTGTTGAAGCTTTTCATCTTGTACTCATCAGGGCATTTCACAAGAAGTGCCAAAGTAAAGGGAAATCAACATTTATATTGTATAAATGGAGAGTGCTGTTTGGTTGGCAAATTGCTTCTGGTAGCAGAGCTGCCATGGAGAGGGCATCTATTAATGACTAAACTTAACTATCAAGCTTTGTTTAAATTTTAAACGAGGAAGGTTGACTCTGATTAATTAAGGCATTGCCCTGAGAAATAAACCAGGGAATGAAATTACCTATATTATTGATTTGATCCTTACAGTTCACAGTGTCCACAAATTTATGGCCTGGTCAGGACTCTCAAGTCATATCCCTTTATGCCCTAGCTTAATGCAATTTCCTTGTATGTCTTCATGAACTCTAATGTGGTGCAATTTGTGTAGTTACTGCAGTTAACTCTCGGGCATCATTAACAGTAGCCTTTCTGGAGGAGTCATCGAAGTCTTCTTGTCAACTAATCAGAAATGTCTTCAAATGTGATGTAAATATTGTCCTGACCGATATGAGATGAAAAGCTTCAACAATGAAAATACTCAAGTTTTGTACTGCCAAACAACTATGCTCAGTTTGATGAAAACCACACCTTTAAGGCCCATTAAAGTCAGTAAGGAGAGGTATTCATCTGTTCTCTCCAGCTGGATGTGAGCGTATAGAACCCCAACAGTGTGGGAGCAGGCCATTCGTCCCACCAAGTCTCCGAAGATCACCCCACACAGACCTGCCCCCCTACCCTATCACCCTGCAATTCCCAAGGCTAATCCACCTAACCTGCACATCTTTGGACTGTGAGAGGAAACCCTTGTAGGCAAGGGGTGAAAGTGTAAACTCCACACAGACAGTTCCCAAGGGTAGAATCAAACCCAGGTCCCTGGCGCTGTGAGGCAGCAGTGCTGACCGCTTAGCCACCATGATGCCAGGTTCCAGGGATAAAAATTAATGCCCTAATCCAGTATGCCACCAATTCATTTTGACAATGTAGGAAGGAAATAAAGTCAATTAACCTCTCATATTTTTCTTAGGTTGACACAAGCAGGATTGTTCATATCCATTCTGTCATCATTCTCCGCCGCTCAGATAAGCGCAAAGATCGAGTGGAAATTTCTCCAGAGCAACTTTCTGCAGCATCTACTGAAGCTGAGATATCCTTTCAACTGAGATTATTATCAAGATAGGCTGAGGAATTCACATATCATCATGTTATTGTTAGCAAGCAGCTGCAGCATTAGCTACTTGAAAAGTTGTCAGATAATTGTTCTCATATGTTATCAGGATTGAGGCATCCATGTATGGAAAAGGAAAGAGGATAGTAAGTGGAGTGTAAAGTTTCCTCCCTCATCAGCTTGTGGTGTAGACCCAGGTAACAGCATGTGTTACTCTACCTGCTCATGTACAAAACAGACAACAATTTCCACCCAAAAAAATCCATGACTTCTGCACAAATTCAATGCTGTAATGTAAAAGGAGTCCAAAACTGCACACAATATGCTAGGTGTGGCCTCACGAATCCCTGTATAACTGCAACAACACATCCCTGCTCCTGTACTCGAAACCTCTCACAATGAAGGCCAACACACCATTTGCCTTCTTTTCCGCCTGCTGCACCTGCATGCTTACCTTCAGCGACTAATGCACAAGGACACCCAGGTCCCGCTGCACACTCCACTTTTCCAATTTACAGCCATTCAGGTATTAATCTGTCTTCTTGTTTTTGCTTCTGAAGTGAATAACTTTATCCAAATTATACTGCATCTGCCATTGATTTGCCCAATCACCCAACCTGTCGAGATCATGCTGAAGGAACTCTGCATCCTCGTCACAGTTCACCACTCCACTCAACTTGGTATCATCTGCAAACTTGCAGATGTTACATTTTGTTCCCTCGTCCAAATCGTTAATATGTATTGTGAATAGCTGGGGTCCCAGTCCCGATTCCTGTGGCACCCCACGAGTTACTGCCTGTCAACTTTAAAAGGACCCATTATTTCCTACTCTTTGTTTCCTCTCTGCCAACCAGTTTCCTATCCATCTCAATACACTTCACCCAATCCCACGCACTTTAATCTTGCATGTTAATCTTTTACGTGGGACGTTGTCAAGTGCTTGCTGAAAGTCCAAATATACTACATCGACTGGCTTCCCCTTGTCAACTGAACATCTTCATAGAATTCCAACAGATTTGTCAAGCATGATTTCCCCTTCATGAATACATGCTGACTCTGTCTGATCCTGCCACTACTTTCTAAATGGTCTGCTATAAAATCCTTGACAACGGATTCGAGAATTTTTTTCTACTATCAATGTTAGGGTCACCAGTTTATAATTCCCTGTTTTCTCTCTACCTCCCTTTTTGAATATTGGAGTGACATTAGCCACCCTCCAATCTGCAGGGACTGTTCCAGAGTCTATAGAATCCTGGAAGATGACCACCAATGCATCCACAATTTCTAGAGCTACTTCCTTAAATCCTCTGTGATGTAGATTATCAGGCCCTGGGGATTTATTGGCCTTCAATCCCAACAATTTTCCCAGCACCATTTCTCTACTGATATTGATCTCCCTCAGCTCTTCCCTTTCACTAAATCTTGCCTTCTCCAACAATTCTGGTATCTGATTTGGGTCTTCTTTTGTGAAGACAGAACCAAAGTATGTATTGAGTTCCTCAGCCATTTCTTTGTGCCCTATTATACATTCCCCCGTTTCTGTCTGTAGAGGACCTATATTTGTCTTTACCAATCTCTTTCTCTTCACGTATCTATAGAAACTCTTAGCATCAGTCGTTATGTTCCTTGCGAGCTTGCTTTTGTACTGTATTTTCTCCTTAATCAATCCATTGGACCTTCTTTGCTGACTTCTAAACTGCTCCCAATCCTCAGATTTATTAATTTTCTTGGCTAATCTGTATGCTCCTTCCTTGGATTGGATACTATCTCTAATTTCCTTTGTAAGCCATGGATTGGCCCTCTTACCCATTTTGCTTTTGTGACAGACAGGAATAAAAAGTTGTTGCAGTTCCCTTATGGGTTCCTTGAATGTTTGCCATTGCCTATCCACTGTCATCCCTTTAAGTAACTCTCCCCAATCTATCAAGGCCAACTCACGCCTCATATTCTCGTAATTTCCTATATTAAGGTTTAACACTCTAGTCTCTGAGTCAACAACCTCACTCTCCATCTTGATAAAAAATTCTATCATGTTATGGTTGCTCTTCCCCAAGGGGTCTCGCACAGCTAGATTGGCAATGATTCCCTTCTCATTTCACAGCATCGAGCCTAAGATGGCCTGCTGTCTAGTTGGTTCCTCCACATGTTGGTCAAGAAAACCATCTAGTATTCACTCCAAGAATTCCTCCTCTATGGCATTGTGACTAATTTGATTTGTCCAATCTATGTGCAGATTAAAATCACCCGTGATCACCGATATTCCCTTATCACATGCATCTCTTATTTCCTGTTTAATGCCATTCTCGACATCACCACAGTTTGGGGGTCTATTCGTGACACACACTAATGTTTATTGCCCCTTGGTATTTCTCGACTCTACCCATTCAGACTCCATATTGTCAGAGCTAATATCCTATCTTACTATTGTGTTAATTTCCTCTTTAACCAGTCACGCCGCTGTGCCACCTTTTCGTTTTTGCCTGTCCTTCATAAATACTGAATACCCTGGGACATTCAGTTCCCATCCCTCATCACCCTGCAGCCATGTCTCTGTAATCCCAATTATATCGTACCTGTTTACATCTATCTGCGCGAACCGTTAAACCAACAGTGATGTACAGGTAATATCACTGGACTAGTAATCCATAGCCCCAGCCTAACATACTGATTGAGGGGGAGGTGACAGCTTAGTGGTATTATCATTGGACCGTAAATCCAGAGACCCAGGTTCAAACCCCACCACGGAAGACGGTAGAATTTGAATTCAATAAAAAAAAGTCTGGAATTAAGAGTCTAATGATGACCATGAAACCATTGTCAATTGTCAGGGAAAACCATCTGGTCCACTAACGTTGTTTAAGGAAGGAAGTCTGCCATCCTTACTTCGTCTGGCCTACATGTGACTCCAGATCCACAGCAATGTGGTTGGTTCTCAACTGCTCTGTGGGCAATTAGGGATGGGCAATAAATGCTGCCCTCGCCAGAGATGTCCACATCTCATGAGTGAATAAAAAAAGTTACGTGGGTTCGAATTCTACTACAGCAATGGTAAGATTTGAATTTAGTACAAATCTGGAATTAAAAAGCTAGCAAGTATGTCAGTGTCATAACTACCCATTTAGTTCACTAATCCCTTTAGGGAGGGACAACTGCCATCTTCACTTGGTCTGGTCTACACGTGACTCCAGTGTCTCAGCGATGTGTTCAGCTCTTAACTGCCCTCTTGAATACCCTAGCTGGCCACTCAGTACAAGAACAGTTAGGGGTGGGCAAGAAATGCTGGTCCAGCCAATGATGCCCACATCCCATGAACTAATTTTCTTTAAAAAAAACATTGTCTTTAGTGAATTTGCTTCATGAGGAGGAAATCAAATAAGAATGTGATCTATTTACATCCCACCTCATCCCCGTCCACTCTGCCACCCCAAATTCATGGTTCTAGATATGTACATTAAAATGTTAGCTCTATACATGAGTTTTTAAGTTAGGTGCAAAATAACATTTGCTAGGAGGCAAAAAGCAAATTTCCCTCCCTGTCAAAATATGAAACTGGCAGATTTAAACATTTCTTTGTTCATTCAACTGAAAGGTACATGGGTGAAATAGGAAAATGTTTTTTTAAACAATCATAATATACTTTCAAAACGTTATTTTTCTGTATTATTTAGATTAGGAGGAGTTCACATGTTTTGGTGGTTTGATATCAGAGAATTCTGGTGAGCATTGCAATTTATTGACTTTGTGGGTTTGCAGTGTTCTGGGAAAAGTGCATCGCCTGAAGATTATGTACTAGAGATTTGAATTACATACAATCTTTGACGACTTGTACAGGTTAGCTGAAATGACGGGTCGCCCAATGAGAGTGGTAGGATGGTATCATTCTCACCCTCATATCACTGTATGGCCTTCACATGTAGGTAAGTACATGACTGAATTGGGTGAGCATCAAGTAATAGTGAAGTTAACCTGACTTATGTCAGCAGTTATGATTTTTCTCCTGTTTGCCCCTGACAGCCAAACAAGAGGAAAGATCAGCGATGTGTAATGAATGGCTTGTTCAAAATACCAGAGATTGTAAGAACTTCCAATGCTGGAGTCAGAGATAACACAGTGTGGACCTGGAGGAACACAGCAGGCCTGGCCAGAACTTCTGAAGAAGGGTCCTGACTTGAAACGTCAACTTTCCTACTCCTCTGATACTGCCTGGCCTGCTGTGTTCATCCAACTCTACACTATGTTCAAAATACCAACTCTGTTGACACTCTCCTATGTGTTTTCAGGTCACTTGACTGTCAAAGGCATCATTTCTGACCTCAGTTGTATTTTCACTTGTTATCTGTGGCAGCTGCTGTCGTGATTGTAACGAGGTCAGTCAGGTGGGCCTTACAGAATATGGAGCTGTTAATCTGGTCCAGTCAGGGAGCCCTGGCTGACTGTTAAGAACAGGAGTGAAAGATATCCTTTTCACTCTGAGACCTGGCTCTGAGGGAGCTGAATCAATGTCAAGGACTCCCCATATGTAAATAAGGGCTGACTTGGTGACAGGATACCGTGCACTTAGCAGCATGGATCTCTGTAGGAACTCTGGCTGACATTTTTAACTTTTCTCCTTCCTCCTTGGTTTTGTGCTTTAGAATCCATTTGGAGCATCCTCGTTATTTACTAGACTGGCAAAAGCAGCACAGAATCTGGAATATTGCAGTCAAAAGGAGTCAAGTTACTAAAGAGATATTTGAGTATTGTGATAGGGGAGCTATAAGCTCCACAATTTGAGAGGCCTTTCACATTTCTATTTAATATTCTGGATGATTTGCATTTACCCCTAAGCTGTCAGAGAGTTTTGTTTTTCATTTGTCTAGATTTTGTAATCTAGCATTTGCATGATATATGTCTATCTGTGACCTCCTGTTGTTTTGTTTAAATCTGCTTAAAAAGGAAAAAAGATTCTTTACTGTTCACTGTGTGTGCAGTAGATATTTTTACTTAAGGCTTTTCCAGTGATTTTCTATGGGAGGTTTACCTACCTCCCTGTTATGTTGGCTAATGGGATCTTATGTTTTTGGACAAAATAAGAGTGCACTTTGCCGTTAGAATTTGAACTATGTCCAAATGTACCAATTTAGATCATCAATGTTAAGCTCTTTTCATTGGAAGAGTTTGGAGTCCGTTTTAGTTTCCTTGCTAGTGCATTTAACATGGAGTAGTTTGTTCAAGAAGTAAAGCTTGATCAATGTCATTCTAAATCTGCATTATTTCTGTCAGATGTCCGTACACAGGCAATGTACCAGATGATGGATCAAGGCTTTGTAGGGTTGATCTTCTCCTGTTTCATTGAGGATAAAAACACCAAGGTCTGTACCATCTCTATTGCATTGTGTGTTCATTCCTTTGGTGGCATTTAGTAGTGGTTTACTGCTTCCTCTTGGTGTGATGAGAGAAAATCTCTGGGGTGATTTTCCCCTTTTAGCGGTTGTTAACAATTATGTGCAACTTTTGTGGGACAGACCAAAATGATAACTCTGTCAATAATATCCTGAAGTGGAAGTATATTACGATTCCTTCACTATCACTGAAACCACCAACCTAACAACCCTCTCTGTGGTTGGTTTAAGAAGGCAGATCACCAGCATATTGTCTAGGTAGATAGTAATGGTGAAAATACTTACCTTGCCATGGTTATCCATGTACTTTGAATGAAGTTTTAAAAATCCAAACTAGAAAGACTACTATCTGCTGCACCACTGCACTGTTTCAATTTCCAGATAATGCTGCCTTTTTGCCTTGATGACTGTAATTGCCAATTTGCTGTGACTTATCAGTACTTTTGTGCTGTGTGCATAGGTTGATACTGCATCAAGCTCATTTTATTCCCGTAACGGTACAGCCGTCAGGAGGAAATGTCACATTTATCCCTTTAGCCTGGTTTAGATTTAAATATGAGGTTTCAGTGCTTCACGACAGAGTTATTACAATTCTAAGAAACAGCATACTTATTTGAATAGTTAGTTATTAAATTCCACCCAGATTTTGTAGTAGTTCCTACCATTAAAGCCCAGTTTGAAGGGCTTGCTGGTTATATTAAGAGGTCATTAGAAAATTAGGTAACACCATTAAACAAAATCATTTTGCCTTTTTACATCTTTTCTTCAGACTGGCCGAGTTCTGTATACCTGTTTCCAGTCAATTCAGGCACAGAAAGGTTCTGAGTAAGTATAATGCAGTCTGTTATTCTAGTGAAAACAATATAAACTAAGAGTTTTTTTAATATGAGGTGATTAATTTTGCTATTATGCAGAAATGGCAGATGGAAAGCTTGCAAAGTTGTCCCATCCATGCATATGTCCTTGCATATATTTGAGTACTTTTCTTACAGGCTGGGACCTGATGGCTATCCTTCTCTGTCGTGGTTTGAATTTTGTATGAGTAAATCGGTTGGTGGAGACTTGTGCTCAAAATTAATAGATAGTGGGTAGGCCTGTAATTTAATCTGGGATCATAAAAACATTATAACCTAAGCTTATAGGTTAGGAGGTCATCTGAATGTCATTAAACTTTTGATAACTTTGTTCCAGGTATGAGCGAATAGAAATCCCTATCCATGTAGTGCCTCATGAAACTATTGGTAAAGTGTGTCTGGAGTCTGCTGTGGAACTTCCAAAAATCCTTTGTCAAGAAGAGCAGGATGCTTATAGAAGAATTCACAGGTAAAATAAGAAATGAGGTATAGTTTTGTGTTTGATGCATTAATTAAATAATGAATTGGTTGAAATAGTGAAGGTCCAAAGAGACTTTGGTTTCAAACTATACCCAAGTCGGAATGTCATGAACGAATACAAAAATTAATCAAAAATACTAATGAAATGCTGGTCTTTATATCTAGAGGATAGAGGAACAAGTGGATAAAAATCATGCTTCAATTTTTCGAAGCTCTGGTTGGGTGACATTTGGAGTACTGTGAGCGTTTCAGGGCATAACACATTAATAAGCATATATAAGGGCCTTGGAGGGACTGCAGCATAAACTTATTAGAATGATATCTGGATTGCAGAAGTTAAATCATGAGGAGATATTATACAAACTGTTTGTGTTTCCAGAATTTAGGAGGTTGAATGTTGATTTGATGGAACTTTACAAGATATTAAGAGGGCCAGATAGAGTAGGTTGAGAGTAACAAGTTCTGCTATTTGGAGAATGTTGAGCTGGGCATTAATCAAAAAATTAAAACCAAACTTTTCAGGCGTGATATCAACAAATATTTCTTCGTGCAAAGGTTGATAGAAATTTGCTAAATGCTATTATGCAACTGCTGTTGATAATCGTCCATAGTCCACAGGGGACCATAGACATCTCTCTATGTTGGAGAGACACAATTGATCATATAGCTCAAGGAAACTACTCTGCATCAAGAATTACCACAGCCCTCAGAGGGAACGAACCTGCACCATTGGTATTTAGGTAACTATGCCAACCAGTCCTCACAAGCCGGTTCAGTATTAACTTTAAATCTGAAATTGATCAGTTTTTGTTAACCGAAAACATTAAAGGATATGGTGTAAAGGTGTGCTGTTGTCAATGAAGTCATGGAATTTTGTTGCTACCATTTTCTCCTTTGAGCACATGATCATTGTAGATGAAAAACACTGAGGTCATAGCTGTAAAGGAATCTGCATTACAATGCAAACTGAAGGACATCAATTTATTCTTCTCCATGTAAAATTGATTTGCATAATGGTTTTGTTTGTCAAGTGGTTCTGCTGATTTGATTTTTTTTATTTAAACATTTGTATTTAAAATTCTTTGCTTTCCTTTTTACAGTACTGTACTTGACAGGCAGGTGGCACAATGCCAGAATATTAATACTTCTCCCTTTGGCACTGGCTTCACTATCAAGAACTTAAAAGCCATGTACGATATGGGTTAGATACAGATACTTTATCCCAAGTGTGCCAAACCAAAACTTAAAGAGAATGATCTATGACATTTTTGCACGCTATTCATATGTATAAGCTACTTTAAACTGAAATTAGTCTGGAGTTGAATCTAAGTCTGTGTCAGATTTTGCATTTGTTTGGCTGAACCTAAGTATTTTTTTTTCTCAAGCTTCATGCTCACATATGGAGTTGAAGTTGCCAAACCCAATTTATTTAAGACTTTTGAAGATCCTCAGACTGATTAAAATTTGAGTCCCTCGGAGAGGTGAAAGAGCAGCCAGCCAGTTCTAGTTTTACATCCAATCTTTTCATTTTTCATGATGATCAAGTTGCAGCATTTTTGTTTTAAATGATGTACAAGCAGTTCTCCTATAGTTGCGTTCATGTGTGACCTCGCGCTATGGAAAATCACGTTCTTGGGAAATCGCTGTAGAAAATGGCTATACCTGTACAGCAGAAAGTTTGTGTTTTCCAAGCACTATTCATCAATTACATTACAGCTAATTCGCGTTAATGAAATACATGTTATCGCATATATGTTATGTTATACCTGTAATCAAAACCAGTATATTTCAAAGAAGTACTACATGGCTGTAACTAACTCATTGTTGTCCATGTCAGCAAAGGATTTTTCATTATGAAATTCCTATGCTTTTCTCAGAATACTTTTATTGAAGCCATTATTTAGACACTGTTCTTGTTCTCATACAGTGGCATTTGACCTTAAGATATAGGAACAGCATTAGGTCACTCAGCCCTTGAGTCTGCTTTGCCATTTGATAATGCCTGATGTTTCTCACTGTCATTGTGCTGCCTTCTTCTTGTAACCTTCGATCCCCTTACTAATCAAGAACCTATTTATCTCTGACTTGAATACAGTAACAGTGCTGTAACAGACACAAGCACCAGTTTTGTTTATTATCTTGATGTATACAATTTTTAGCATTCCTCCACCCCAGAGGCTGAAAATTCAGTTAATTTACTGATACTTATTTAAATTCTCAACGTAAATTTACTTTTTGTTTATTGGCATCGTTTTTATTCATTAATGGGATGTGGGTCTCAGTGGCTGGCCAGCATTTATTGCTCAGCCCTTTGTGGGAGCCAGTGACATTATGACAATGTCACTCGGCTAACTGAGAATTCCAGGCGAATTTCCTGGGGACATTTGTTCGAAGGCAGATGTTGAAATTTGAATTCAATAAATATCTGGGATAATAGAGCTGTTTAATGGTGACCATGTAATTACTGTTAATCGCCTTAAAACACGTTTGGTTCATTAATGTCCTTCATGGAATGAAATCTGCCATTAGTACCTCATCTGGCCTACATGTGACTCCAGACCCAAAGCAACAGGTCTTAACTGCCTTCTGGACTGTTAGGGATGGCCTATAACTACTGCCCTATCTAGCAATACCTGCATCCCACAAACAAATTTTTAAAAATGATATTAGTTGCTCCTTGGTTAGCTGCTTTATTGAACCCTCTGCAGTTTATTTGGTGTAGGTACCAACACAAAGCTGTAGGGAGGGAGTTCCAGGATTTTGACCCAAATTTGTATTACAGGTATTTCTGCTATAACCCATGTTTCATTAATGTGAATTGGCTATAATGTGATTGATGAATAGTGGATGCTGTTTGGGTAATGCAAACTTTCAGCTGTACAGTATAGCGATTTTCTATAGCATGATGTTGCACAAGAATGCAACTGTCGTGTTAAAGGAGAAATACCTGTATTGGAAAGAGAATAACCATTGTCTAGTGTTTAAGTAGATTCATCTGTACGCTTCCCTATTCTTTGTAAGGATAAGATTTGTTAATCTAGTTCATATCTTGTTAACAATGGATGTTTGTATTCAACAGAAGGTTGAAATAAACATAATCTGTGACATTTTATCTTTTGTTTCAGCCTTACACATCTGGACCCAATAACTAAGATTCACAATGGATCAGGTAGATGATGCCTCAATGTTTTAAAAACCCTATTTTTAAGAAAATAATATGTACACTAAGTGACATACCAGAAGAGTAGAGTTGAATGGTTACATTTATGATCCTGATGAGTGCTGGTGAAACAGAGTTAAAGAACAAGGTATAGGGAATTCTGTGGAAGTCAAAGATAGCCATTTCACGAATGAACTCCTTTTCCCACTCTCTCTCTCTTTATAAAAGGTTTTTGCAAGAAATATTAACTATGTGTTTCACCCGTGTAAAAGACATAGAATTACAGACAACAGCACAGAGTTGACATTTAACACTTGCCATTGGTGACCTTTTGAGTTTTGTATTGGGAGAGATGGAAAATCTTTTTGTGTGGAATACAGCAATGAAGTTTTTCGGTGGAAGAGAAGAATAATTAGTGGGAAGGAAATTTCAAAAGTTCAAAATTTTCCAAGATATTGTCCTTCTGGGCTGAGCATTTCACCACCCCAGAAATCCACATGCCAATAATGAGGTCGGCATAGGAAAAGAATTTTTTTAATTTTTTTGTATACCACCCTTGTTAAATTCCATTTTGTGAATTTTGAACAGCATTGGAAAAGGTACGCCTAGAAGTAACAAGCACATGGTTAGGAGTTTCAATGGCAGTTTGACCAGAGAGATATGACAGAGGAGGAAATGTTACCTGGATTGAAATAGGTGCTTTTTGTGATGGATGAGGAATGTGGAATGTGATAAGGTTCTGAAATTGTGTACCATAAGGTGCAAAATCTGTGTATTGTGAAATGTATGATTTTTTTCCCCCTCACAAACAAATTGATTCAGTAAATTTATTTGATTTTAAAGGGCAGCATTACAGAAGTTAGCTTTCTGTTAGTTTCAAACAGAAAGAAGGGTTGACAAACCTGTTTGGGAATTCTGAAATCTGGCTGACTTTCCTACTATCTGCTTTCGAACAAATTTTTCTGCATGCCTATTATTTAATAAATCGCAATAAGTGAATTAAAAGAGAATAATGGGAAAAGGAAGAGGTGTCTTATCCAAAAATGGAGCATTTATATCATACCCTAATATTCCCATTCAATATTTACAATTATTTGTTCAAATTAAAAATAAATTATACAAAATGTGAACAAACTGATTGGCTCAACATTTGCCTAGATGTAAGCAAACTGAGTAATTTCTGAATGTTTTTATAAGGACAGGCTAAGTTTGGGTTGTGAAAATTACCAACTTGCTTTGAATTAGTCACATATTTCCACGATTCGATGTTTATGTTTTGGACGCAACAATATTCAGTTATGTAGAATATATCCGATGTGGTTTTAAAAAATTTAAAATACCTTGACTGACCAATATCTGCCTGTTCATTTTTATTTCTCCAGTTTTCACAAAGAATCTGTGTAGCCAGATGTCATCCATTAGTGGTCCTTTGTTACAGTGGCTGGAGGATCGCCTTGATCAGAATAAACAGCATATCCTGGAACTTCAGCGGGAAAAGGAACAACTCCTCCAAGAACTAGCAGCCTTAAAGTGAAAGCAATCATAGGACCTATGGGAAGAGGGACAGAAAATTGCACTCCAGTTGTTCTTCTGTTACTGATGGACAAGGAAGCTATTGGATTGCAACAAAGATCTGTAACAAAGCTTTTGGGTCATGTTAAAGACTCCCCTTTTGTTGCTCTTCATCTTACTTGCTTATCAATCCACTCTTATGTCCAGACAAATGGAAATGGACACATTATAGCTTTGATCAGCTTTTGTGTCAAAGGGATATTGTTCTAGTCCTTTTTGGATCGTGAAGTCCACATTTCAGGTGTCCTGTACCGGAATTTGTGGCTCCATTTACATGAAGTTGTTGGATGAATTAATTTTCTATTGATGTTTTATCTAATCATTGTTTCAGTTGCACAGTGTGATTATAGAAGTTACTTCAATTGATATTATTTCTTGAAACCAGGGAATTTGTTGACTATTGATAAATTTGTCAACAAAGTAATGGCTGCTTGTGTTTTTATTTGTGGCTTGCATATTGGATAGCCTTTAGCCAATAGATGTTCTGATTACTTTATACTCGCCAGCTGTTGGAAAATTTAAGTGAATACTGGAAAATACCTTTCAATGCCACAAAATGTCAGCTAAATCTAAAGTGGTGGGACTGTTGATTTCTCACTATGTTTCCTGTGAAAGTAAATAGTGAGTAGAAAAAAAATTCTCTGCTGACAATTTTCTTTTTGACTTCAGTAGATTTATGATGGTTTGACATCATTGCATCACCAACCTGCATTTTATTGACTAATTCAAGAGTTTGGACTATTTCAATGGCATCTTTGATTGTATCATTAATTTAGACAAACAACATATCTGAATCTTCAGTAAGAGAAGGACCAGTTCTTCCAGCGCCTCTAACCAAAGAGGAATTACAGGAGCTGTGGAAAGAGGATCAACAAATTGTGTGCAAACCAACCATTCTTTTGTTAGAGATGAGAAGGGAAGCCATTAACCTGCAAAGATACCTAGATTGGCTGAATAAATGTGACAGCATTACTTTACAATCTGTTATCGCTTCCAGTACTTAAACAGTCTTGATTGTGTCTTTAATTTCTTTGTATGGCACAACTATTTTCATTCAGCTCTATGTATTGGTATCTGAGTTGGAAAGGAATATACTCATTATTCATATACATCTGGTGAACTGTTAGGCTAGTACTGCCACAATACAATCTGTAATACAGTGCGACTCTCATTCTTTGTGGAATTAATTGATCCATATCCCACAATGACTGGTGTTCCACTTGTCAAATTGTAGTTTCCAAGCATAATAACATTTTTGACCTGTACACTAATGTTGTTCTAATTGACCATTTATGATTTCTGGTGTAGTTTATTGACCTCTGCAGATAAACCAAAGCAGCCTGTTAGTCTTCAGCATAGATATGCACTGATGTGGGTAAGGTTTGAATTGGATGTTTATATTCAAAATGTAATTTGTAATTATACATAATTAAGAATAAAGCCTGATTTCTACTGATCTGAAATCAGATGTGAAAACACTTTGTCATAAATATTTTCCAGTTGTACATATTTGTTGAATCCTAAAAAGACTTGACTAATGGATGTTTTAAAAACATCAAAATTTAATTTATTGTTACTTGCCTTTACAGTTTATAACTGAGTCTTTGTAATCTCTCTCATATAAAAATTTACGTACACTACACATCAGATTTATGTCACTCTTTTTTCATGTGCAGAAAGACTAATATGTAATGAATTGAAAATGTCTCCAGAAACACAACAGCAGTGTTTGAAGACTCCTGATGGCTTTCCCACAAACTAAATCAGGCTGCTGGTCTGAATACTGACTGACCTTTTATTTTTAGACTTAATCCTCAGCCATATCTTCTTGTGCATGTCTGTAATTTGCTGGGCAGTTTGGTGGTTGAGCTGGGAACCTTCAACCCATTTAAAAGGAACTTGCATCTCCACCTGTAGTGCTGTAACTTGTACATGTATGGACCAGGTGTTGGAAAGTAGGATTAGAATGGGTAGTTGGCATGGACAACGTGGGCTGAGTGGCCTCTCTCTTTTGTAACATTTTAAAATTGAATAGAAACAAAAAAAAAACCCATGCTATTTTACTATTCTCTTGTATCTTTCAGAAAAAAGTGAGGACTTTGTCATAGGATTTCTAACATGGTAAAGATGTAAATTACAAAATTTACAAACGGTTACATGTTCTGCGCAATTATTGTTTTGTGCATAACAGTATTCTTTGGAAGATATGTTGACATTGTCACTTTCCTGCCTTGCCTATCTTGAGAAGTTGGAAATTTGATTTCTCAGGGCATCACTAGCTCTAATTTCTTAGTAGACTGCAGTCATACTAATGTTACTCTGCAAGTGTTCTGAATAATAACTCCCAAAATGTTTGTGTTGCTGTATAATCATCTCTCTCAATGCATTTTAAAACTATCTGTCCTCTGAATGTACTTAGCACTATCATATTTTGAAATGCAGATATATGTCACGTTGTTATAATTAGAAATTGATTATATTTGCAGGATGTGCTATTAACTGTTATAATCCCCATCTGTTCTCATTTTATCCCTGTCATGCACCAAGTGTAGCAAGAGAAAGAGGTTCAAGAAAAGTAATCCGTCATCAAGACTGGTGAGGGTAACTGACTTTTTTTAAACATGAAAACATCAAAACAAAGCCACATCTTCTATATTTTACCAAAGTAATTCATTAGAAAAACCGTGAACTATGAATAAGAAGTATACACCACCTTACATGTATACATTATTGTTTCACCTGTGGTATACAAGAGGAAACGAGAACAAATGTACCTAAGTAAATTATAAACTCCCAAAGGTTTTCACAACCAGCCAATTATTTTTGAAGTGTAATCACTTAATGTATGATCAGAAAGATACTTTGGATTGTATTGGGGAGGAATTGTATATCAGAGTGCATAACAATTATTTTTTGAATAGTATCATAGGACTATGCTCATGATTATGTGCAAGCAGAGGAACAGGCAGATGACTAAATTTCAAAACAGCTATAATTTATATTCTTTATTTCACAACCTCAGGATATCTCAAAGAGTTTTACTGTCAATATAAGCTGTAGGTATGTCACAGTTTATTGTACAGTGTAGATAAACATAGCAAGCAATTTAATCATGGCAAGATGCCATGAACAGCAATTAAATAAATAACCAGGCAACCTATTCTAAATAATGTTGATTCAGGCATAAATGATACATGATACCAGAAGAGCTTCCTTGATATCTTCTTTTACATAGTGCCACGAGGTCTCCAATGTTAAGGTGAGAGGGAGACTGGCTCTAAAAGACAGCAACCTTGTAGTTTCACTGAATATGGCTGGATTTCAGCTGGGCTTTTCAACAATAACGGCTGAGCAACTGTCAGTGTTTGCCATCATTACTCCTCTGAAACTGACAGCAACCTTTCAAGATTGCAGATGCATTGCTAAACCTGTAAGTCTAGAGATTCAATTGATTGTGAATGGTTCTATGCTAATCCTGAGAGTGGGCTACTGGAAGCAATTAGGTACCAGTGGACTGTCTTGAAATTCTACTCTTCAATTGCTTAGATTCCTGAATGTCCCGAATTTAGTAAGAAATTCTATCTTTTAAACATGTTTTAAAGGTTTATTTTTGTATTTACTTCAATCCCATCTCTATATCTAATCTATAATTTTTTTTATTTTAATGTCTGTAAAAATTAAAAGTGGAGGTTTAGTTATTATTAATTTCCTGGTTTGCAGATTGCGGGTGTACTTCGCTATTTATCTTGGTTTCTGACATCACTGTTGTGGGATGCTTGGAGATTCCCTTGATATGATGCAAAATTCAAGCTAACCTTAGGCAAGAGAAAGTCTGTGCCACGTAAATTTCTGGATCTTTCTGGGCAATTTTTTTCAAGGTCAGAAGCTATTACTATAGAACAAAAAAAAACAAAGAACTGTGGATGCTCAAACTCAAAAACAAAAACAAATTGCTGGAAAAACTCAGCAGGTCTGGCAGCACCTGTAGATTGAAAGAATTAATATTTTGGATTCAGTGATTCTTCTTCTTTGCTTCACTGTTGACTGCAAAATCCCAGCTCATTTGTTACTGGAATATCCCACTGAGTTTGATCTTAAATCATCAACAGCCATTCACAAAAACAAAGTCAAGATTAGACCCAGATTGTCATTTCACTGAGTTTTTTCATCTGTGCTTAGTCAGACCTTGCTATGTACAAATTGCCCGCCATGTTTTCCTACAGTGCAACCTTATCAGTTGGCTTTAAAGTACTGAGGGATGATAGGCCATAAAATCCCTTCTGCTAATTCGTTCATTATCTTTCTTTATGAGAGCGAAGAAAGTTACAAACCTTTAGAGTATTTTTTTACCAGTTGAATGCAACAATAAAAAATGCAAGGTATTAATTTTTAAAATTTCAGTGCCCATGAATGCTTTTCATTACAACATTTTTGATCTAAATTTTGCTCATCTTTGACATTCTGCTTATTATGTATTATCAGCTGTCTTAAATCACAATAAGATTTGGTAAAGGTTACCATGGCACCTTATTATTGTAAGGTATGCAAATAATTTCCTCTGGCCAAAAGAATGAAATGTTTTATAATAACTAATTCTTGTACCCAACAAAATATAATTATCCTGGCACATTAAAATGGCACATTTATTATACATGGTTGAAACAGTGTTGCCAGCATACAGCTATTATTAGCTGTCAACAATATAACTTTTGATATATTTGCTTATGTAAATCTGCTAGATCTATATTTCCATATAGAGCAATTAAATGCGTACATTAATTTACACAACAATGAATCCTCGAGTATTTTAGAAAGTTGTTTAATTAACAGCTATGAGCAAGGTAATTTCATGTTTTTAGTGTCATTTTAGCCTTTATTTTTACAATTAATGCTCATAACCATACACATTTGATTCTCATCTTTGATTCCTCACATGAAATAATAAATACAGAACTCATAACAATCTTGTCAATGGTCCCTCCTCTTGAGCAAGCAGGAGACATCACACACACACACAGATAAAAGACGTACGCCTGTGTTGGGCAGTTTAACAGATGAAAAGGTGTAGCCGAGACTCCACAAGTGGACACTGGTTGATTTAGTTACAGCCTAGAATCAAACACCAACAGATTGTATAAAGGTAAAAGAAATCATCAAACAGCCACATCCAGGATCATCTGCACAAAAGACAGGTGAAAACTGACATGGTGAAAATGTCCATTGGAAAACAAGATGTGATAATCATTGGAGGGGGCTTGTCGGGTGAGTGTTTCGTGATTCTACTTTTCAGTTGTGTCTTCCCCCAAGTTGTCAGCACAATGTGTTTAGAGCTGGAGTCGTTCAAAGGAAAAGCAGCTAATGCTTTCTGAATGAATGCATTATGCCTTAGGATAATAATTTGGGAAGCAACAAACTGGATTCGGGTCATCCCACATTTGTACATAATGGAGTTTCAACACATATGAAAATATTACTGTAGAATTTATTCATCAGACCTGAAAAAAATATTTTCTTCCAAATTATCCAAATAACATTAAAATAGAAAAAGTTTTGGTTTTCTAAGCACTTTAATTTAGTCCTTATTTAAAATGCAGACTTCATATATGTGGGAGCTGCACATATCATTGTATTGATTTATGCATTACAACAAGAACAATTATCTGCAGGATTTTGTTGAAAGCAGAACTACAAATGATCGCTGTGCTATCAGAACATGTTATAGTGAGTACACATTCTATACAGATGTTTTATTAGTCGTCTTCCCATTTATGATGGGTATTTTCACAAATTCTATGGATCTTCAAACTAATCCCTTCTGTCCCTCACCTCCAACAAAGCAATCCTTTCTCACTGTTCAAACATACAATTATTTTATTAGATTAACTGTTAGAAGTCACTGTTTTTGGTCCCCACTCCAAATTCCACCTTCTTGTTGACAACAGTCTGAGATCAAACAAATGTCTTTGCTACCTTGTGTCCTATTTGACCCTGAGATAAGCTTCCAACCACGAGGTCATGTCATTACTAAGAAAGCCTATTTCCTCCCATAATGTCACCAAACTTCACCCTATCTCATCTCAGCTGGTGCTGAAAACCTCAACTATATCTTTGTTATGTCTTGCTTGACAATTCCAATGCACTGCTAGCTAGTGTCCGACATTCTAATATTATTGTCATCCAGACTCTGCTGTATACATCTTAACTTGTAGCAAATCCCACTCCCCTATCACCGTTGTGATAGCTCACTGGCCTCTTCTGGATCCCGATTCAAGTCATGTCTTGATTTTAAAATATTCATCTTTGCTTTCAAATTCTTCCATGAGTCCTTACCCCTCCCTAATTAAAATTTTCAGCAGCATAGCTATTCAAGATATCTGTGCTACTCTAATTCTGGCCTCTTGAGCATCCCTGATATGAATATATCATCATTGGTGGCTGAGCCTTCAGTTGCCTACCTCCCTTTCCTTTAAGACCCTCTTTAAATCTTGCTTCTTCAACTAAGCTTTTGTTCATCTGATACCTATTATCTTCCTACGTGGTGCAGCGTAATATTTTGTAATTCAAAGCTCATGGGAAGCGTCTTTGTATTTTATTACATTAAAAGGCTCTCTATAAATAAAAGATGCTCATTTTAGATTAGAATGTTTTTTGAGGCTACATGCCTTGACTCCAGATTCCAATCTCTTGTATGAAAGAAAAATGCCAAGAAAATATTGTGGAAATGAAGCCTACTTCAGGAGGACTGGCAGTGGCAAGGAACCAGGTTCTAACCTGCATCATGAAGATTTAAACAGCTTGTAGAAAATGTAAACATTTATATTGAGTCATTATGGATGAATAGATTTGCAATTCATTGCTTCATTGGATATGGAGCAGTTTAAAGAATTTGTCAAAATATCTCACTAATTTCCCATCTTTCACTCCTGTGTTGACAATATAGGACGGTGTACCATCTTGACATGGAAAACAAAGGGATACAATATTATGATTTTCAGGTATTAGAGTTTGGCCCGATTTTTTTTTAAACGGTTGAGATATGTCCAGAGCATCTTAATTTTAACCAAGACCAAGAAATTTATTGAGTCAAGATAGATACAAGGATGCTTAACTTTCTGATGAGGTATGATATACCTCAAATATGAAACCCTGTTTTCCTCCTAGATATCTTGTTTTAAACAATCTCACAGACCTGTGACAAAATCTCAGAGACTTTTACAGGCACTGTCCCAAGAAAGTAGCTTACAGGTGAAGAAGATATTTCCTGCCAAGAGATTGGACTCTGACAATGCTAATGTTGAGCACACAAGATGTGCACACGAGAAAGCCTCAGTGCATGGCCTGCCAGTTTTCCTTCATCCATTTGAATAAGTATTCGGGCTCTTGCTCTGATGATTAGTCTAACACTGAGAACTCGCATGTGAAAAAATATAGACGCAAAGTCATATCCTGTTCCTTTGTAGCACAGCATATCAGCATAATTTATCACATACATAGAAGAGATTGAGAACATCTGAAGTAATTTCTTTGCTTCAGTATGAATGCCAAGTTAATCTGCCAAAATAATCAACACTGTTATTGTGGCCTGGCCTCAGTCATATTCATTCAAGTAACTTTTGGCATAGCATGTGTTTGCTGAGGCAGCTCTCTGATCTGGGGGCAAGTGCAGCAGAATTTTGTAAAGCTTCTGTCCCAAAATTTTAATGGATTCATTTGGAAGCAGCAACTCTGAGCAAAGATTTTGCAGCACATTTCCAATCAATGACATTAAATGTAGAAGTCTTTGAGCATTAGAATCCAATGTGACTGACATATATATATATATATATATATATATATACCAGATCTGGAAGTAGCTTTCCTTGTAACTTTTCTGCCATGTCATCGCTCGTCATTAAAGAATCTAGCTGTCCTTTTAAAAAAAGGCGCTAAAATTATTTGCAAGGGTTGAAATTATGCTCAAAGGATATTTTATAATATTTTACAATTTTGTTAATATTTTTGTTTGCATTTTACCAAATGACAGCATTGGCTTTAGAAAAAACTTAAATAAATTGCGGAAATTTAACTTTTTGACAGTTTTAGCTGAGCTACTGAAACAGGATATTGCATCCTTAAAATGAATCAAATTTAGCAAGTTGTATAATATGTAGACTCAGCTACAGCAGCTGGTGTTTAGTTGTTTACAGGCTTCGGGTCGAGGCGTGTAATTTCCTGCTCTGCTGCCGTACTTTGACGTGTATTGATTTACACCTCAATAGCTTGACGAAATCATCTCAGAAACCTTTATTGTACTGTCAGTGCAGATCGGAAATGAGTGGGAGGCAAGTGCTGTTCTGAATGCGGATGGATGGCTTTGAATTGATTTATATCAGTGAAAGATCATTAAACTCAAAGGTTTGCTGGTAGTGGAAATGAAAAGTTCTTGCATCGCAGACAGATTTATTTTGTAATTTTTGGAATTGAATTTGCTGGTGTTTGGATTTTAAAATGGAGGTTTTAAAAAGGAGGGAGATTTAGCAGCACCAGTGGGTGAAAACATGAAGTGATGGGGCGTGCACCCAAATTTCTTGATCTGGATCATATACATTTGATATATTTCTCGTGTTTCAGTCCCCATGAGTAGGAGATAAGAAGCTTGAATTCCATGTCTTTTTTAAAAACACTGTTTAAATTCTGTAAAAACCAAGTAATTACTCATACGTTTAAAATGGCATTTGATAAGAATGTCCCAACTTTTACTAAGTCAAACTGAAGACTTAGCTAGTCCATTGACTTGTCACTTTCAGTTTTCACACGAAAATACTTTCCTAGGTGGCCCTGTGTACAATGTAAAGGATCACAAAGGACTGATCAGAATGAGACAGGAAAGGACAGAGAAATCTAACAAAAACTACATCACCAAATCAGGGAATAAGGATTTAAAAATAAAATTAAAGGTTATTCATCTAAATGTGCAAAAAATCTGCAGTAAGTGTACTAGTGGTACAAATTGAGCTAAATGCTTTGATCAAATTGCCATTACAGAGACATAGTTACAAGGTGATAGTTTAGCAAAGTAAATATTCCAGAGTGCACAGTATTTCAGAAAAATAGATGGAGGGGTAACCCTGATTGTAAAGGATCACATAAGGATGTTAGTGAGAAAAGAGCTGCCTTTAGGTGTTCCTGAAGTAGAATAATCATGTGAGGAAATTGGGAATAGCAAGAGTGGAGGACTTTAATCTTCATATAAACTGTAATTATAAAATTGGTAAGAATAGTCTAGAGGATGAGGTGGTTAGAATGTTCTTGGTTCTTGGAGCACTATATTGTGGAACCAGCCAGGGACATAGCTATCTTAGATCAAGATTTGAGTAGTGAAATAGGATTAATGTCACAGGATATGTTCCCCTGGGAAATAGTGATCGTAAAACTATTGGATTTAGTGATCGACTTCAATGCAACATATTCCCATCACAAACAAAAATCTTAAACAAAACCAAATTAACAAAGGCAAATTTAAGGTTATGAGGGGACAACTGGCTAAGGTTAATTGGGTAGATTGGCAAAAAGAAAGATATGGCTGCAAATGGGCAATAGAAAACATTTAAATAAACAATTCAAATTGGCCAAAACATGAGTACATTTCATTGAAGTGCAAAAACTCAACAAGATCCACTAGACGTACATTTAGAAAGTTAAGCATAGTATTAAATTAAAACAAGAGGCTTACAATATGAAAAAATGCAAAGCCAAGTGTCAGCATTTAGATTGTTGTGGAAATGGTAACCAAACAAAGTCGAGAAGAGGAAGAAAAAATACAATAGAGGATAAACTAGTCAGAAATATGAAAACAGTTTGAAAGAGATTTGACATGTATATAAAAAGGAAGAGAATAGCTCAATTCAAGTTCATTGGAAGCAGCAACAAGAGAAATTATTAGGGGAATGAAGAAAATAGTTTTGAACAAATATTTTGTGTCTGTCTTCACAGTAGAGGATATGAGTTTTATACCAGAAATAGATGCTAATGTAGGGCTAACGAGAGTTAATACTTTAAAGAAATTAATATCATCAGTGAAGAAGTATTTGAAAATGTATTAAAAGTATAAGGACAAAAAAACTGACACATCCCTGAGACCTGATGTCTTACTTCCTAGGGTTATAAGAGGTAGCCACAGAGACAATGGATGTATGAACTATAATTTTCCTAAATTCCTTAGATTTGGGACCACTCCTATGAGATGGGATGTTGGCAAATGTAACAAAGATAGCAGTTAGAAA